GTATGAGCTGTGGGTCCATGCAGAGGCTCGACTCGATGTGTATAAGGCTTTTCATGCCGAGGGTAGGGCAACGGAGGCGGAGGTTCAGGCGGTGCATGCCGAAGCGCGTGCAGCCCGTGAGTATTGTGGGTACGACCCCCTCACTCCTGATGGGGAAGGTATCGATTCTGATGATGCGAACCACCTTACTTTGGATTCATGGTATTACGAAGCTTCCCGCACTGAGGACGATGTGTAGTTTTAATTTGCACCACTTTTTGCTTAGTAATTTTTGGCACGGGCCGCATTAAGGCCTGTTCATAGGGGCAAATGTAAATGATATTTTGTTGTAATATAAACTTTGCTTTCGTCGGTTCGTCTGTTCGTCGTTTCCCCTTTTGTTTATTGCATGACATTTGTGTCTGTCTATTGGGGTGTTGTTTCGATTATCGTCGAAGTAGAATCTCATCATGGTTCGACCGAGGTCGAACTAGTATTTTTGTCAGTGGCCGCCATTAGAATGTTGCTTCGATTGTCGTCGAAGTAGTATCCCGCCGCGGTTTGAACGAGGTCGAACTAATGTTGTCGATGGCCTTGGCCATTGGGATGTTGCTTCGACTGTCGTCGTAGTATCCCGTCGTGGTTCGAACGAGGTCGAGCTAATGTTTTTTTTGGAGATTTCTTGCATACAATGGAGATTGGATTCTACTCGTACAATGGAGATTGAATTCTGTTCATACAATGGAGATTAGATTCCGTTCATATAATGGAGATTGGATTCCGTTCACACAATGGAGATTGGATTCCGTTCATACAATGTAGATCAGGTTCCATTCATACAATGGAGATTAGATTCCGTTAATACAATGGAGGTTAGATTATCTGTGTAGTCCCTTCATTACTTCGGCCTGGAGATCGCATCGACGGGCTGAGGTGATGAACAACGTTCCGGTCCATAGGGCGTCCCCCTCGCTGCCTCGTTAAAAACCTCCCCGGGAAAACCCGATTGGGACAAAACCGGGGTGCGGGAAAAAGAGTACGACTTAGGTGATGCCTCTCAGAAGTGAAAGTATTTGAGGTGGGCGACGTTCCAGTTTTTTTGGAGTAGTTTCCCGTCCATTGTTTCTAGTTGGAATGCCCCTTTGTTTGCTACTGCTACGATTTTATACGGTCCGTCCCAGTTTGTTCCTAATTTTCCTTCATTTGGATCTTTTGATGCCTGTGTTTTGGCTTTGAGGACGTAGTCACCAACTTTGAGTGATCGTACCTTGGCTTTCTTGTTATAGTATCTTTCTACTTGCTGTTTCTGGGCTACCATTCTTACGTGGGCCATATCTCTTTGTTATTCGGCTTCATCTAAGTCTTATAGCCTACTTTCGTCGTTATCTTCCCCGCTCATGTTGGAGTATCTCAGGCTGGGTTCCCCGACTTCAACGGGTATGACTGTGTCGGTCCCGTAGACCAGTGAATATGGCGTTTCTCCCGTGCTGGATTTCGGCGTAGTGCGGTATGCCCATAATACTTCAGGTAGTAGTTCGGGCCATAGCCCTTTAGCTTCCTCGAGCTTCTTGTTCAATATGTTCAGTATCACTTTGTTGGAGGACTCGGCTTGGCCGTTGGCGGCAGGATGATACGGTGTGGAGAGTATCCGTTTGATGTGCCATTTTTTAAAGAACTCAGTTGTCCTTTTTCCGACGAACTGGGGTTCGTTGTCGCAGCTGATTTCCTTGGGGATTCCGAAACGGCATATAATATTGTTCCATATAAAGGCGATGACCTGCTGTTCGCGTATCTGAGCGTATGCACCTGCTTCCACCCGTTTAGAGAAGTAGTCAGTTAAAACCAAAAGAAAACGTACCTTTCCTCGTCCTGCTGCCAGAGGGCCGACTATGTCCATCCCCATTTTATGAAAGGCCATGGCGAAGTGGCAGAATGGAGGAATTCTCCTGCTTGATGTATCATAGGGGCGTACTTTTGGCATTGTTCGCATCTTTGGACGTAATCCGCGACTTCTTTTTTCATGGTAGGCCAATAATAACTGGCACGAATGAGGCATCGAACGAGGGCGCGATTTCCCGTATGGGCACCGCAGTGACCCTCGTGTACTTCTTCTAGTACTTGCCTTGTTTGGTGTGGTCCAAGACATTTGGATAGGGGGCCACCGAATGTTCTTTTGTAGAGGTCATGATTTATTAGGCTGTATCGGGCTGACTGCACCCGGAGTTTCTTGGCTTCTTTTTTGTCTTGCGGGAGTGTTCCATCCTGTAAATAGGCTACAAAGTGGTTACGCCAGTCCCAAGTTAGGTTCATAGAAAGTACCTCGACGTGGTCTATGGCTGAGTGGAGAAGGGTGACCACGTTCTCTTTGCTAATATTCTTGGTGGCCATAGCTAATTTGGCGAGGCCATCCGCTTCAATGTTCTGTGCCCTATGAATTTGATCGAAGCGGCATTCGTCGAACTCCGACATTAGTTTGTGGATTTCCGACTGATATCTTTCTCTGCTCTTTGATTTGGAAAGTCCCGGTGACTTGATTTATAACGAGTTGAGAGTCGCAGTGGAGGATGAGTCGTCGGGCGCCGTATTTGAGGGCTAACTTCAAACCTGCAATCACAGCTTTATACTCGGCCTCGTTGTTAGTCATCTCGGGGCATCGTATGGACTGGCGAATTATTTCGCCTGTAGGGACTTTGAGGACGAGTCCCAGTCCTGATCCCGAGGCATTCGAGGCGCCACTGGTGTAGAGGATCCAGAGATCGGTACGTGTGGAAGCGAGAAGCGCTTCTTGTTCTGCCTCGGGCAATATTTCCGCGCTGAAGTCAGCGACGAAGTCGGCGAGCACCTGCGACTTAATGGCGGTTCGCGGTTGGTATGTTATGTCATGCTCGCTTAATTCTATGGCCCATTTGGCGAGTCTGCCTGAGAGCTCGGGTTTATGCAGGATACCTCTTAGAGGGAAGGTCGTTACTACTTTTATGGGGTGACATTGAAAATATGGTCTAAGTTTGCGTGAAGCCACGACCAGTGCCAGAGCTAGTTTTTCAAGGTGAGGGTACCTTGTCTCGGCATCTATTAAGGTTTTGCTGATACAGTAAATAGGAGATTGCGTACCTTGATTTTCGCGGACCAGGACCGCACTAACTGCGACTTTAGATACTGCCAAATACACAAGCAGACACTCACTCGGGTCCGCTTTGACGAGCAGTGGTGGTGAGGACAGATACACCTTTAACTTCCTCAGGGCATTGATGCATTCCTCGTTCCATTGCAACCCGTGGCCTTTTCTCAACACACTGAAGAACTTGTGGCATCTGTCTGAGGATCGTGAAATGAACCTTGACAAGGCGGCTATTCGCCCTGTTAGCTTCTGTACCTATTTCTTGCTGGTCAGTACCTCTGGTATTGTGTCGATGGCTTTGATCTGATCCGGGTTGACCTCAATTCCTAGTTGTGACACGAGGAAGCCGAGGAATTTTCTCGAGGTTACGCTGAAAGCACACTTCTCGGGGTTCAGCTTCATCCCATACTGCCTTAATATCTCGAAGGCCTCTCTCAGATGGCTAATGTGATCCTCTTTCTTCGTTGACTTTACCAACATGTCATCGATATAGACTTCCATGGTTTTGCCAAGCTGCTCTTTGAACATCTTGGTGACTAGCCTCTGGTACGTGGCCCCTGCATTCTTGAGTCCAAACGACATCACTTTATAGCAATACGTTCCTCGGTGAGTGATGAAGATCGTCTTTTCTTGATCTTCTTCGGCCATCAGAATCTGATTATAACCGGAGTAGGCGTCCAAGAAACTCAGCAATTCATGCCCTGCTGTCGCATCGATCAGTTGGTCGATATAGGGCAACAGGAAGGAATCCTTTGGGCATGCTTTGTTTAGGTCGGTGAAGTCTACACACATTCGCCACTTCCCGTTCTTCTTTTTGACCATCACCACGTTGGCGACCCATTGGGGGTACTTTGATTCTCTAATGGAACCGTTAGTGAGTAATTTATCCACCTCTTCGCTGACTGCCTCATTGATTGCAGCATTGAACTTTCTCCTCATTTGCCGTACCGGCGGATAGAGTGGGTCAACGTTTAGTCTGTGAGTGGCGATGTCCTTTGGGATTCCAGGCATATCTGAATGGGAGAAGGCAAACAAATCGGTGTTGTTAGTTAAAAATTCATGATACTTACCTGGCTCCGAGAGGTTATGCCCTATATAACCCCTTTTCGTGTTGTCGGCATCGTCCAATTGGACTGGGTCAAGATCCTCTACAGTTGCCTTGCAGGCTTCCACGATGTCTGGGTCTTTGATGGCCTCTGTTGGCGGGTCGGGCTTAGTTCCCGACATGGCTGATTGCTATGCCTCCGCACTTGCACCTTTCAGTTGTTTGGTGTGCGTGCAATCTTGGGCGGTGCGTGGCTCGCCTTGGATGCTGAATATTCCCCACGGGGTGGGAAATTTAATCACTTGATAGAAGCTTGAGGGGACGGCTCGCATGGCATGTATCCATGGGCGTCCTATGATGGCGTTATAGACTATTTCCTGATTCATGACGTGGAATGTTGTTTCCAGTGTGACCCCCTGCTAGGACAGGCAGCACTATTTCTCCGGATGTCCATTCCACTGCATTGTTAAAACCCGTTAGTGTTATGCAACGCGGTATTATTTTATTCTCGAGCCTCATTTGCATGAGAACTCTCGGGTGAACAATACACGCGCCGCTTCCGTCGTCTACCATGATTCTTTTTACATCTGTATCAGTGATACGTAAAGTTATAACCAAAGAATCATAGTGAGGGAAAGACAAACCGTCGGCATCCGACTTATCGAAGATGATACTGTCTTCGAGGTCATCATACCGTTCGTGGGCGACCGTCCGTTTGAGTTTATGCATGGTGGTGAACTTCACATGGTTGATTACTGTGTCGTCGCCACCGCCGATGATCATCTGTATGGTACGTGCTGGCGACGGTGGTTTTGGAGGTCCTTGAGATGGGTCACGTCCTCTGGCGAAGTTGGCTCTTCATTTATCGCTGAGCAGTTCTTTCAGGTACCCCTGCTTCAGCATCCTAACTACTTCCTGCCGCAGACCTATGTAGTCCTCGGTCTTGTGTCCTCTTTCCTGATGGAATTTGCAGATGACGTTTGACCTTCTGGTGCTTGGGTCCGATTTCATTTTTTGCGGCCATTGCACCTTTGTGCCCAGCTTTTCCAACGCGTACACTATCTCTGAAAGGGAAACACAAAAGTTATGAGCAGATAATAGTGGAGGCATACCTCTTTCGCTTCGAAGGGGTGCAGTGTGTCGTAGCACGACATCCGTATGCCTTGGAGGAGGCGGGTTAGCTGTTCTGACATAGGGTTGATTCCTTTCTCGATTGAAACGTGGGGGTTGATCCCTTCGCCCCTCGTTACGTCGATCTCTCCTTGCCTCGGTCTGCACTGACGTTAATCGCTGAATCGGGCCGTTCAAATCGTCCTTATTTGCCCTTACCTCGGCACAGTAGGCGTTGTGAATCTCCTCCCACGTGGTGGGGGGATACTTCATGAGTCTGCTGAGCAGTTTCTTGGTTGCCTTGGATCCGTTCTTGTTTAACCCATTTTGAAAGGCTGCTACCGCCATCCCTTCTGATACGTTCGGCAGACTCATCCTTACTCTGTTGAATCGGGCCAGGAAGTCCCGAAGTCCCTCACCCGCCGTATGCCTGATGGCGAAGATATCATTGACCCTTGCTTCATCCTTCTTTGCTCCTGCATGGGCGGTGGAGAATTTATCTGCCATTTCCTCAAATATCGATATTGATAGTGCTGGTAGCTGGGAATACCACGTCAATGCTCCTCCCGTCAAAGTCTCGCCAAACTTTTTTAGCAACACAGAAGGTACTTGTTCTTTCGACAGATCATTGCCTTTTACTGCAGTGACATAATGGATTAGATGATCCTCTAGGTCCGTAGTTCCGTATATTTTCAAGTATGGCGGCATCTTAAAGGTTTTTGGAATGGGGTGAGGAGCAGCTCCATCGCTGTATGGCTGTTCGACGAATCGGCCCACATCGTGTTTTGGTAGTAGTTTGGGGGCGCCAGGTATTTTGTCTACCCTTTCCTGATGCTCCTTCATTTGATCACGGAGTGCTTTGTTCCCGTTTTCCATCTCTTCTACTTTCTTTTAGGATGGCCCTGAGCGCATCGTCACCTGCAGTAGTAACAGTGCGGGTGTTGCCCGTTTGCGTGATGCTTGGCTCGTTGGTGGTAGCTGCGATTTCTGTAGTCGGTGAGTCTTCGACATTTCCTTGAGGGGATTTTTCGAGCATGTTGTTCAGAGCACTTGTCAACCATTCCTCTAGCAACTTTTTGACTGCTGGTGGTGTTTCTCTCGCCGTAGATGTGGAAGCTCCCATTTCGCGCGAGACCGTTAGATCCCTGTGTGGAAAAGGTAAGATCTCTTCCTCCGGTGTATCCCCTGGTGTTGTGTTCTCGGTATCCTCTCTACCGGCTTCGTTGAGGGTGTTTAGGAGGTTGTTTGAGACATCTGCTATCATCTTCAGCCTTGCTTCTTTCTCCGCCATTGTTAGTTTTTATGGGGTTTGAAGAACAGTAATCGTCACTTTCAAGAACCTAGATGAGAACTATGATTTCAGCTATGGAAATCCCCACAGACGGCGCCAAATTGTTTGACTCAAAAGATATAAAACTTTTTTGAACAAATCAATCCAAGATGAAGGGGTAAATCGTAGCTGAATATAATAAACTCTAGGATGATAACAGTAGTGATATGATGATAATAGAGAGAAGAGAATAAAATGCTTTCTTTCCACGGTTCATATCTTTTATCTAATGACCCCCCCCCCCCCCTCCCTTTTACAAGGCTTACACCCCTCTTATATACTGAGGAACTTTCCCCAATCACAGGAACGACAGCTTAAAACATATCCAAGGAATATTCCCTAAGTCTCCTAGTGTACTGACTCTGCTGTCGATGTCGTGATGTCTTTCCTTTTACCGTGGTCGTATTCCTCTAGGCGTAGACTCGTGGGTGCTTGTTCGTTTGTCGTGTTTGCTACGGGTCGTGGTCAATCAAATTTGGACCCATACAGGCGGATCTATGTGGGTAATTCGGGGTACTACGCCACCCGATCGCTCGAGTAAAATCGTATATATATACTGATATTTTCCTCAAATTATTAAGATATATAATGGGCGGCACTGGAACTCCACATATAATGCCCAGGATCGAGACTCTGTTGCGGTCCTTGTTGTTTGATTTGTTCTTATCTTTTTTCCCTTCCCTTTCTTCTCCTTATGCTCCTTTTAAATTGTTTTAATTTCTTCACCTTTGTTGTTCACTTTATTTGTACAATCTTTTTTTATTATTTATTTAAATTGTATATTTTCCTCCCTTTTCTTTTTCTATATCGTCAAATTTATTTGAATGTGATTTTAATCATTTCCTCTTTTTATCGATCTAATGTAGTTTTATATTACTTTTAGAAATTAGAGTGATGCATCAAAGACATAATATTAATCGAGCTCTATGTAGATTGAAGTGCTGTATTTCCTAATTAAAATATTATTTTACTTTATATTTTTTAATCAGATTAATCGAATTTGAATTCAGAGAATTAGACCGAATTGGACATAACCTATTCGATTTTGTGATAACACATTCATTTATGCATAAAACAATATTTTAAATCGAATTGAATTAATTCATATTGGACTGAATCAAACCGAATTAATCAAAAATGTATCGAACCGACTAAATGTTTCAATCTCTTCACTATGGTCGCTTTGCATTAAAAGTAGTGGCATCAGGGGCGTACACAAAAATTTTGTAAGCATTGTTGAAATTTATAGAAGAACCAGAATAATAACTTTAGTTATCATACTTCCAGACAAGAAATAGTTTTAGTCTATTGATTTTGTTGAGTCTTAAGTTAGAAAAAGTCCTGAACTATATTCTATTTCATCACAATTTTTAACCACATATATTCTCTCAGATATTTGCAAAAGAAGATGTGCTAGTTGAGGTTTGAAACTCTGACCTCTTAGAGCAAAATCAAGCACATAATCAATGCGCCAAGAGATAATTTATGTCAATTGGTGTCATTTTTTTCTACTTATCCGCATCTTCACAGTATTAATACATTAGTTTAAAAAATTTGACGAAGCGATATCGCGTGACACCGCTTCGATAAATGTGCATCCGTCCCAGAGTGGCACTCGTAACCATCAAATCCTGGATCCGCCTATGCTACTAAACTTATTATGCAACAATTTACACAGGAAAAAAAAAGATAAAAAATTAAAACTAATACACGACACATGTCTCAACTTACGCTTTTATCGCAAAATTATAGCTAATAGCCGCAAGGGTTGGCTGAGTTGGTTGGGTGAGTAGTTTCCCACATGGAAGACCTGTGGTCGATTCCTCTCGCTAGCGGCCTCCTCAGTTAGAGCTCGTCCCATCGGGCTTGCCTAGTGCGGTTTACATCTCACGTGTGGTTTGCGAGGTTTTCCTAAATTTTTTAAAAAAAAATAACACACATTTTAATCTTATTTTTTGACTAACCACACTCAATTAATATGATTTGGATTAAACATCCGATACAGATAAATACATTTTTACCCTCTTCGTTAGTCGGTGCACATGTTGTGTGTGACCAACTCCTATGATGCCCTGAGTTTAGGGATTAATTAATATTTTTTTATAATCTTTTTAAGCTATAGTTGATCTGTTTTAGTTTGCAAACAATCACAATTAGTATACTACTTACATTTATGGCAATACAATTAATGTACTAGCTAGGTTAAATTTCCTCTTGTTTTCTCTTTTTGCTTAGCAGCCACAGGAACATGAAATGGATTCTACAAAAATTGAGTGAGTTTGCAATTACTACTGCAAAAAAATCAACAAAAGATACTAACATGGCTCCCTGCAAATTCTCTCATGCGATTCAAGTGTGTTTGTAAAACTTGGAAAACTTTAATGGATGATCCTAACTTCTTCAAGTTACACAATGCTCGTTCCCAAGAGTATCAACTCCTTATCGTTACTCCTCGATATCCCAAAAAATTAGACACGACCAAACACGGCCTTATGCGTTTACATATGCATACCCCTCAAGTTTACTTATACAATGTCATCACAGGGAAGACAAAATCTTTCATAAAAGGTTTATTGCAGGAGGATCCTAAATTGTTTCTGTCACACCTCTTTTTTCCCACACAACCCTATTACGAGGTTGAGTTAGAAGAGTTTTTCCAATTAAAGTGACGTTTTCAAAAGGGATTATTTATTATTTAGAGTCTGTTTGGAAAGTCACCCTGTAATTGAAATTGGTATAATTACTAGGGTAGTAATTACACAGCCTAGTAATTACACAGTTGTGTAATTACGATGACCTGTTCGTTTGACATAGTGTAATTATAGTGTAATTACAAGTTTACTGTTTGGTTGCACAAGTGTAATTACACAGTTAGATTAAATTTTAAATTAAGTAATTATCAAAACTTAATATAATAAATATATGCCTATAAATTTTTATAAGTATAAATAATATTATATTTGGTATTTAAGATGTATATTTTTTCGTAAATATACATTAATTAGTAATTATATACTTATAACTAATATTGTAAAAATAATTTATATAGTATATCTTTTAAATTATAATATTTAGTTTAGATACTTACAAAAACTAAAAATATACGTTTTGTAAGAACATCATGGAATTCATGTTTGATAAAATAAATTAATATTTATAAATATAGTTTCATAACATTAATCAAATGTTTGACAAAACTAATCTATCAATTCTAACTAAAAAATGAACAACATGGAATATGAGCCAAAACTACTAAAACAAGTAATTTGGAACCATGAATATAACATAATTTCAATATTTAAAAAAAAATAATAGTTTTACATATGTCAAATTCCAACATAATAATAGTAAGTTCCACTGCAACTTAAGATTAAGAAACATGGTAAATTTATAACCACATTCAACAACGAAATTTCACTTTAAGTGCATCACTCATTATATGCCAAGTTTATTAATGACCCATTATTTCTAATATTGGGAGGTGTAGTTTCAGAAATAGAATAAGAAAAAAAAATATAAGCAGTTACATAGAATCACAAGAAGTAAAGATAAAGAAATAAAAGATAAATAATGTACAAAGAAAAATATATTTTAAAAGAAATTAAAAAGTAAAAATAAATTAAAAAAATTAAAATAATAGAAATAAAAAGTTATAAAGAAAATAAATTAAAATAAAAACAAAAAGGAAAGAAACTAAAAAGCAACCTTGTAATTACACAGTGTAATTACCACCAATTCTCACCTCCCCCTTGAGAATTGGAGAGTGTAACACCCCTCCAATTACACCCAATTCCATGCTGACCAAGTAATTACTTGGCCAAACAAACATGCCAAACTGTGTAATTACAGCCAAATCCATTTCCAAGGTGGCTTTCCAAACAGGCTCTTAGAGTCGCCACTTGGAATTGAGTTTTGGTGTTCCAAGTCACCTTTTATTTCAATCCCTTATCAAACAGAAGGTTTGACTCCTAATTTATGGTCTACGAAAACAAAAGACTGAGTAAGGAATTCTGTTGACCGAGGGGAAGGTATAAGGCACCCCTCGAGCCGGTGGTTCTAGCACGGTCGCTTATATTGACTAATGTAAGGCTTAAATCAATTTTTGGCTATTCTTGTATTTTATTCGTTATGGCTTGTCTATTACCACTTCACTTAATCTTTATATTTTTATTAATTATTTTGACCTAGATGCGATACGCACACAAGGCATTTCTTTGAAGGTAGATATTAAACAAAGGTACGGAATGTACACATGGTTAAAACATAATTATTTTAAATTTAAAAGCATCGAGACGCGTGAATGCGCACATGACCCTTTTTTTATTTAAGCATATTAGTCCAAGGTTCGGGTATGAACACATGAGCTAATATTTAAATTTTATCTATAGTTTTTCTAGCGTTTTAGAGTATTTCAATTATTTTCAGATTCGAGACGTTTATTTAATAATTTATTATTATTAAGATTATTTTGCCATAGTTGCGCGAACGCATACCTTGGTTTTAAGTTTGAAAATCATAATTATGTCACGTGAACGTATACATAATCACGATGATTGATTTATTAATACGTGTCTAAAGTATACTAGCGATTATTGAGAATTATTTTTCCTAAACTAATTTTGAGATTATTGTAAGGTCATAAGATATGGATAATATTATGAAGTTAATCATTTATGGAAGGGAAATTTTCGTATATATACCATATATGAAACTATATTACCAAATATGTTCATAGTTTGCATATTACCATTCATGCTAATAGTATTTCCACATAATATATACAATGCATTAAATAAGGAATCAAGGTAGCTTTATGATTCCTTATTTAGCCACGCAAAAAAGGGGAATTAAATATTTCCAGATCTTCCCCAACGCATAATAACTATCGTCGACTTCGTTATAAAATTTCCGTACTCTGTTTTTGGGATACACTTTGTTTCAACATTTTCTCTGAATTCACAATTCAAAATCGACAAAATTTTCTACAATTCTTCTGCAACAAAAGCAATTATGGCGAAAATACCAATTATGCTACAACTGAATGGGAATTGGGATAGCTATGGGAGATTTAGAGAATTTGAGGTTGATGGCATTGTAGTCGATGATGATGCGAGTTATAGTCTGTTGATTTCTACAATAGCACAGCAATTAATGAATGATACATCCGAAAAAATTATAGAAATCAAATACATTGTCAACGAGCATTGTCCTCCAATGGAAATTAGGAACAATATGGGTGTTCGTGTATACATGGAGACGAAAAAGGAAAACAAAAACTTAGGATCATATCCGCTATGTATTACTGTTCGCGATTTCAATATGGAATTGAGTATCACCAATGAGAACACAGCTGCAGGTGTGTGATGTTATTTTTTCGATGAAATTCTGGTACAATGTCAATAAACTACACTTTATCTATGTAATATCTACAAAATTTCTACATTTATTCTACAATAACTGAACTACAAAAAAGTTGAAAAATTAATATGAATACTGAATTTCAAACTTTCTATAAATTATCTACAAATTTTCTACAAAAAGGTGATAACAATAATTATTTTTATTTTCATGCAGGTTCGTCTGGAATGCTAAATTTAATTGATATGCCAACATCTTCCGTTATGGAGGAATATGAAAGTATAATAATAACTGACAGTACACCAAGTTCTATTGAAGTAGGACAAGTATACCAAGACAAGAAAACAATTGCAACTGCAATGAAGCACTATTCTATCATGAACAAGTTCCAATTCAGGGTTAAAAGATCTAGTTCTAGAAGGTATGAACATATGAATAGTCAAAGATTATTATTTTTTTAATTTTGTAGTTTATTTGTAATTTTTTACTTATTCAGTTTTTCCTTGTGATAATGTTTAACAGAATTGTAGTTGAATTGTAGTTATATTGTATATAGATTGTATAATGTGATCTTTTAAGCTAAAACGGTTTTTTTTTTCAAATCTAAATTTTAACCCATTGTGTAAAATGTATTTATTTTGTAGCTACTGGCTGATATGTGTTGGTGAAAACTGTACATGGCACTTCAAGGCAACTAGCATAAATGATTCTGCAATGTTCAAGGTCAGAAATTTCGACAGACAGCACACATGCTCTTTAATGGACAATACATTCATACAACGCAAACCTACTGCCATGGTAGTTGGTAGCATGGTTATTCCAAAATATTCTGATCCTAAGACAATTTACACCCCAAAAGACATTCAATTTGACATGTTGTCTGAACACGGCGTGAATCTAACCTACATGCAAGCCTGGAGAGCAAAGAAAAAGGCTTTACAGTTTATGAGAGGTCATCCTGCTGACTCCTACAATAAATTGCCTAGTTATTTGTATATTCTAGAGAAGACTTATCCGGGGTCTGTAGTTAAATTGAAGAAGACAGACGATGACTGCTTCTTGTATGTATTTGGTGCGATTTGTACGTCAATCAGCGGTTGGGAATATTACAGGCCAGTTGTAGTAGTTGATGGGACATTTTTAAATTTAGCATACACGGGAGTAATGCTAACAGCCAGTACAATGGATGCAGCAGGTACTGAAGTTTTATTGTAGAAACATTGTAGCTTGTATTTTTTTTTGCAATACTTGCAGATGAATTGTAGATATATTGTAGAATAGTTGTAGTTTGTATATATATATATGTCTTCTTCTGTAGCCAATTAATTGCTTCTTGCCACATAATGTAGGTGCCATATTACCATTGGCATATGTTGTTGTTGATTCAGAGAATGACGCATCATGGAAGTGGTTTTTTGAGCAATTCAAACTCGCGTATGGTGAAAGACCAAATATGTGTGTTGTTTCGAATCGGAATGAGATTATCTTGAAGGCAACATCTATTGTTTATTCCGGCATGCCACATTATTCTTGCATGTGGCATATTTGGACAAATATACGGGCAAAGTTCAAGAAGGGACATCTTAAGTTAAGTGAATTATACTTTGCCACGGCACGGTCATACACACTTGATGAATTTAATGAAAGGATGTCAAAGATTGAGGAGATTAACCCCCATGTTAAAGCATACTTATACGATATTGGCTATCATAGATGGTCCCGAATACATGCTACGGTGAACAGAACTTGGACTATGACATCAAACATTGCAGAGTCGTTGAATGCTGTAACAAAATATGCAAGAGAGCTGCCGATAGTAGAACTATTAGAGTATATGAGGACCCTTCTTGAACGTTGGACAAAAGAAAAATTATTGAAAGTAAAGGGTACATTCACATACCCTGGATACAAATTCAACAAAAAGTTGGATGACAACAGAACATTATCGCACAAGCTTAGAGTAAGATCTGATTATTTATTGAATCAAATTCATAATCAGGACAAATGTAGATATTTTGTATATAGTTTGATTTTAACCGTATATGAATTGTTTTTTTGTCTGTAATGTACTCGTAGGTGACGGCTTCAACAGACTACATCCATCCAGTACTAGATGGTGTGAGGCGCTATATTGTTTGTCTTAAAAACAAGAAATGTAGTTGTGGTCAATTCCAGCTTGATGAACTACCTTGTCCACATGCTTTGGCTGCTTTAAGACACAAGGATGAGTCTTTTGAACAATATTGTTCTCCTTATTACACAAGGGCGAACCTCTTGCGTACTTATGAAATACCAGTTAATCCCTTGCCCGATGAAAGCAAATGGAATGTGCCACAACATATAACTGAAGAAGTAGTAAATCCACCTAAAGGAGGGAAAAGGCAGCCAGGAAGACCTCAAAAAGAAAGATACAAAACATATGATAAAATAAATTCAAAGAAGTACAAGGTTTCATGCGGCAACTGCGGAGGAGAAGGGCATAACAAAAGATCTTGCAAGAATGCACCCAAAAAGAAATAA